CACAGTCACATAGTCACAGTCACCCAGTCACACAGTCACAGCCACACACACAGTCACACAGTCACACAGTCACAGTCACACACACAGTCACACACACACAGTCACACAGTCACACAGTCACACAGTCTGTCACACAGTCACACACACAGTCACACAGTCACAGTCACACACACAGTCACACAGTCACACAGTCACAGTCACACAGTCACATAGTCACAGTCACACACACAGTCACAGTCACAGTCACACACACAGTCACACAGTCACACACACAGTCACAGTCACAGTCACACAGTCACACAGTCACAGTCACCCAGTCACAGTCACCCAGTCACACAGTCACATAGTCACAGTCACACACACAGTCACACAGTCACACACACAGTCACACAGTCACAGTCACACAGTCACACAGTCACACAGTCACACAGTCACACAGTCACACAGTCACAGTCACCCAGTCACAGTCACCCAGTCACACAGTCACACAATCACATAGTCACAGTCACACACACAGTCACACAGTCACACAGTCACACAGTCACACATTCACACAGTCACACAGTCACACAGTCACACAGTCACCCAGTCACACAGTCACATAGTCACATAGGCACAGTCACACACACAGTCACACAGTCACACACACAGTCACACACAGTCACACAGTCACACACACAGTCACACACAGTCACACAGTCACACAGTCACAGTCACACACACAGTCACACAGTCACAGTCACACAGTCACAGTCACAGTCACACAGTCACACAGTCACATAGTCACACAGTCACCCAGTCACACACACAGTCACACAGTCACAGTCACACAGTCACACAGTCACACAGCCACACACACAGTCACACAGTCACAGTCACCCAGTCACCCAGTCACACAGTCACAGTCACACAGTCACAGTCACCCAGTCACACAGTCACATAGTCACAGTCACACACACAGTCACACAGTCACACAGTCACAGTCACACACACAGTCACACAGTCACCCAGTCACACACACAGTCACACAGTCACACAGCCACACACACAGTCACACAGTCACAGTCACCCAGTCACCCAGTCACACAGTCACAGTCACACAGTCACAGTCACCCAGTCACACAGTCACATAGTCACAGTCACACACACAGTCACACAGTCACACAGTCACAGTCACACACACAGTCACACAGTCACCCAGTCACACACACAGTCACACAGTCACAGTCACACACAGTCACACACACAGTCACACAGTCACACAGTCACAGTCACACACACAGTCACACACACAGTCACACAGTCACACAGTCACCCAGTCACCCAGTCACACAGTCACACAGTCACACAGTCACAGTCACCCAGTCACACAGTCACACAATCACATAGTCACAGTCACACAGTCACAGTCACACAGTCACACAGTCACCCAGTCACACACACAGTCACACAGTCACAGTCACCCAGTCACCCAGTCACCCAGTCACAGTCACACACAGAGTCACACAGTCACACAGTCACACACACAGTCACCCAGTCACAGTCACACAGTCACCCAGTCACACAGTCACATAGTCACAGTCACACACACAGTCACACAGTCACAGTCACACAGTCACACACACAGTCACACAGTCACACACACAGTCACACAGTCACAGTCACACAGTCACACAGTCACAGTCACCCAGTCACCCAGTCACACAGTCACACAGTCACAGTCACACACACAGTCACACAGTTACACACACAGTCACACAGTCACACAGTCACACAGTCACATAGTCACAGTCACACACACAGTCACACAGTCACACAGTCACAGTCACACAGTCACACAGTCACATAGTCACACAGTCACACAGTCACATAGTCACAGTCACACACACAGTCACACACACAGTCACACAGTCACACAGTCACCCAGTCACACACACAGTCACACAGTCACAGTCACACAGTCACACAGTCACATAGTCACACAGTCACCCAGTCACCCAGTCACAGTCACTCAGTCACCCAGTCACCCAGTCACACAGTCACAGTCACCCAGTCACCCAGTCACAGTCACCCAGTCACCCAGTCACACAGTCACATAGTCACAGTCACACACACAGTCACACAGTCACCCAGTCACCCAGTCACACACACAGTCACACAGTCACACAGTCACCCAGTCACCCAGTCACACAGTCACATAGTCACAGTCACACACACAGTCACACAGTCACCCAGTCACCCAGTCACACACAGTCACACAGTCACAGTCACCCAGTCACAGTCACCCAGTCACACAGTCACATAGTCACAGTCACACACACAGTCACACACACAGTCACACAGTCACCCAGTCACCCAGTCACACACACTGTCACACAGTCAGTCACACAGTCACACAGTCACACAGTCACACAGCCACACACACAGTCACACAGTCACAGTCACCCAGTCACAGTCACCCAGTCACACAGTCACATAGTCACAGTCACCCAGTCACAGTCACACAGTCACACAGTCACACAGTCACATAGTCACAGTCACACAGTCACCCAGTCACAGTCACCCAGTCACACAGTCACATAGTCACAGTCACACACACAGTCACACAGTCACACACACAGTCACACAGTCACAGTCACACAGTCACACAGTCACACAGTCACAGTCACCCAGTCACAGTCACCCAGTCACCCAGTCACACAGTCACATAGTCACAGTCACACACACAGTCACACAGTCACCCAGTCACCCAGTCACCCAGTCACCCAGTCACACAGTCACATAGTCACAGTCACACACACAGTCACACAGTCACCCAGTCACCCAGTCACACACACAGTCACACACACAGTCACACAGTCACAGTCACACACACAGTCACACAGTCACACAGTCACCCAGTCACACACACAGTCACACATCACAGTCACACACAGTCACACACACAGTCACACAGTCACCCAGTCACACACACAGTCACACATCACAGTCACACACAGTCACACACACAGTCACACAGTCACACAGTCACACAGTCACAGTCACACACACAGTCACACACACAGTCACACAGTCACACAGTCACCCAGTCACCCAGTCACACAGTCACATAGTCACAGTCACACACACAGTCACACAGTCACCCAGTCACCCAGTCACACAGTCACATAGTCACAGTCACACACACAGTCACACAGTCACAGTCACACAGTCACACAGTCACAGTCACACAGTCACACAGTCACAGTCACCCAGTCACAGTCACCCAGTCACCCAGTCACACAGTCACATAGTCACAGTCACCCAGTCACACAGTCACAGCCACACACACAGTCACACAGTCACACAGTCACAGTCACACACACAGTCACACACACACAGTCACACAGTCACACAGTCACACAGTCTGTCACACAGTCACACACACAGTCACACAGTCACAGTCACACACACAGTCACACAGTCACACAGTCACAGTCACACAGTCACATAGTCACAGTCACACACACAGTCACAGTCACAGTCACACACACAGTCACACAGTCACACACACAGTCACAGTCACAGTCACACAGTCACACAGTCACAGTCACCCAGTCACAGTCACCCAGTCACACAGTCACATAGTCACAGTCACACACACAGTCACACAGTCACACACACAGTCACACAGTCACAGTCACACAGTCACACAGTCACACAGTCACACAGTCACACAGTCACACAGTCACAGTCACCCAGTCACAGTCACCCAGTCACACAGTCACACAATCACATAGTCACAGTCACACACACAGTCACACAGTCACACAGTCACACAGTCACACAGTCACACAGTCACACAGTCACACAGTCACCCAGTCACACAGTCACATAGTCACATAGGCACAGTCACACACACAGTCACACAGTCACACACACAGTCACACACAGTCACACAGTCACACACACAGTCACACACAGTCACACAGTCACACAGTCACAGTCACACACATAGTCACACAGTCACAGTCACACACACAGTCACACAATCACTCAGTCACACAGTCACACAGTCACACAGTCACAGTCACACACACAGTCACACAGTCACACAGTCACAGTCACACACACAGTCACACAGTCACCCAGTCACACAGTCACCCAGTCACCCAGTCAGTCACACAGTCACACAGTCAGTCACACAGCCACACAGTCATACAGTCAGTCACACAGTCAGTCACACAGTCACACAGTCACCCAGTCACCCAGTCAGTCACACAGTCACACAGTCAGTCACACAGCCACACAGCCACACAGTCACACAGTCAGTCACACAGTCACACAGTCAGTCACACAGTCACACAGTCACACAGCCACACAGTCACCCAGTCAGTCACACAGTCACACAGCCACACAGCCACACAGTCGTCACCCAGTCAGTCACACAGTCACACAGTCAGTCACACAGTCACACAGTCAGTCATACAGTCAGTCACACAGTCACACAGTCACAGTCACACAGTCACACAGTTAGACAGTCATGGAGTAAGAAGGGAAGAAAGATATATAGAATAAAGAAAGGTTAAAAGCCTAGAGGCAATTCATAGCTAAAGAGAAACAGGATAATTTAAGTGAGAAAAGCTGGCTAGAAGCAAGCCTCAATAAGGCCGGGCATTCACAAGTAAGAATAAGTCTCCGTGTATCTATTTGAGAGCTGGGTGGTGGACCCCCAAAGGGAAAAACAAACACACAAGACAGGGATCTTTCTTATAGGACCTGCATGGCAAACAGCTTCACTTAAAATAGATGTAATCTAGCAATTCATTGAGCCAATTTCCGGTTTGGCAGAAAACGTGATCAGTAGAATTTGGGCATGTTCAGTACATTACCAACAGAAACCCCAGTATCACTTCTTCCTCTCAGAGGCGTGGCTCCACAGATGCAGACCTTTCTCTGCCTCCTCAGTCTGTCCACAGTCAAACCACACATCACCAGAGAGCAACCTGCCGTTTCCGTACCTGCCGGCCAGTCACCCGAAATGTCTCTTCCGCATGCAAGCAGGTTATTTCAAGGGGTTCTGTGCTGGATACATGCCGCAACAATCGACACGCCTGCAAGAAAGCACGAGACAGTTCCCCTTCCTCACCGTCATCCTTCTGACAAGGAAAACAAAGGCTACAAACCTAGGAATGAATGCAGGACCCAGGTTGACGCAGGGACCAACATGGGCACAGTGTACTGTGTCTGCTTCCTATGTGACGAGGCAACGTGGCCACAAGACCTTAGAAACACGGGAACCTTTAGAAGGCCCAGTAGAATGCGTGCATTTGCTGCATCCGACTTCAAAACTGTCAGTTATCACAAGCTTGGGAGGCTAACTCCGGTTGTCCACGTTCATGCTTGGCCAATGGAAAGGAAAGGAATGGACCTCCTTTCCATGTTTATTGGGGTCACCTTGGGCCAACTGTTTGCCTAGTCCAAAGTCTATCACCTGTCGGGAGGCTCTCAGTGGACTTCAGGTTCTGCCCCCGTCAGCCTGGGCTAGCTCGGCCACCACTGCCTGCACGCACCGCCCTCTCATCTAAAGCTGCCCGTGGCTCTGGCAGTCCTGAGCCCATCTCTCTCAGTGAGCGCTTATCACAGCATCCTCACTTCATCTCTTTCCTGCTGAGAATCACCAGACTCAAACAGAAACTGCTTCATTACTCCACTGCACTGCCCCCGAGTCTAATCTCAGAAGAGAGAGGAAAGATTTTAAAATATATTTGGGGGTTCTAACAGATTGTATTGTTTTGTTTTAGAGGCTAAACTGTTGTAAAAACAGGATAGGCATGTGACACTTTTCACAGTCCAAGGAGAAGAAAGGAGAATGCTCAGATAAGTTAGCCGAAAGTCATACCAGTTAATATTCTCTCAATTTTGCTATTGTATTGTGAACTACAACTTTTTTAATAAGCAAATCCGTTACTCACCTCAACAAGCTGTTCTTTCTGCTCAGAGAGTTTACAGGCATATTCAGCCAACGCTTCCAAATTTCCTTCTACTCCAGTGAGTTTTAATGCTTTTAAAACCACATGATCAGCATGGAATTTTAGCAGGTCGGCTGCCAGCTGCAGGGCTGTATGGTGAAGCTGAAGATGAGGGTGAAAGACAGTCAGGGCAGGAAACTAAACAAGCACCTGAGAAGAGTTTTACTAACTACAGGAGAGAAACCCAAAGCATCCCACCCGGTCTGTTCAAAGGGAAATGCCCGCTGTGGTCACAGAAGCAAGTCTGGAGCACTGGGAAGCATCTTAGTCCTCACAACAGCAGGGTGGCGTCAGTTCATCCAAGCTACTGGTGCCAACAGCACTGTTGTGTGGAGAAGAGGCCCTGGCTAGCAGCTAGGTCTCTCTCACACAGCTTCTCTCCTGTTGAAAAGCTCGGCTATCAGCAAAGATGGTGAGAGGTAGAACAGTGTGAAGTTTATTGTTCAAGGGCTGGAGAGATAGCCTGACAGTTAAAAACACGGTCTGCTCTTCCAGAGGACCTGGGTTAGATTCCTAGCAACCACAGGGCAGCACACAACCATCTGTAAGTCCAGTCCCAGGGGACCTAACGCCCTCTTCTGGCCTTCTGGAGCACGGTGCACACACCGGGGTCTCCATATACACTACTACTAATAATAATAATCAGAATAATCACAGCCAAAGAGACACTAAACTTTGCTTTCCTGTAGAGACGAAATGTCATAGAAGAACTTAAAAAGCCCTTGCTTAACCATGAGGGCCTTAGACAATCTAACACCATGCCTTGTACAACCATCCACAGTGGCTGAGTGACTTGCCAAGGTCTTGTAGCTCTTAGAAACATCCTGAGGACAACTCATTAGCAACAAAAAAGGAAGAAGTCAGGACAAATAGTAAGTCCGGTCTGCAAGTTTTCCACAAGACCTGTCTACTAACCCTTACAAGAGCTCAAGGTTGATGTGGCAAGGAAACAGAGCCTGTGGGAAGTTATCCTATTGCCAAAGGGTCTCACGCTGCACTCACAGTATCATACAATTTAATCTTCATATGATAAAATCAAACAGTTGGGGAGATCACATCCTTCTACATGAACAGAAGCTAAAAGGAAGTCTCCATAGAGCTGTCATTCTGTGGTTACAACGTGAAAAAGACCATCTGTACACAGTGCAAAGACTTCTGGTGTGGTTTTTCACTCTTTCTATTCTCTGGCCTTTTTGAGGGGCCCATAACCCAGCTCCGAAATAAATCACTCAGGCTTATTCTTAGTTACGAGTGCCCAGCCTTAGCTCAGCGGGTTTCTTGCCAGCTTCTTTTAAGTTAGTTGGACTACCTTTGCCTCTGGGATTTTTCCTTTTCTTATGTGTATCTTACTTTCACTCTTGCTCTGAGGGTGACTGGCCACTGATTCCTCCTTGCTCTCTTGGTCCTCTTAGGGCTCATTTCTCCTTCTATTTAGCCTCCCTGCCTGCCAGCCCCGCCTATCCTTGCTCCTGCCTCACTATTGGCCGTTCAACTCTATTAGACCATCAGGTGTTTTAGACACAGTAACACGGCTTCACAGAGTTAAACAAATGCAACATAAACAAAAGTAACACACCTTAAAATAATATTGTGCCACAGAAACAAATGCGCAGAACCCAATTTCATTCTCCAGAGACTAGGAGCAGCTTCAAAAGTGCAAAAGAGTAAGCCAAGTAGAGATGGGGGAGAGGAGAGGTCTTTGTGAGGAGAGGAGAAGGGAACACCGTGACATGGAGATGCAGTGTTCTGGTGTAGGGACACCAACTTCTGAAAAACCTCTAAGGAGCATTCATAAGAGAGAATGTCAGTGTACTTCGTCTACGGTATAAAGCCTTCATGTGATGGCATCTGTCACTGGGCTCTCGGTGATAGAGCGTTTCCCTGACACACATAATGCTCAATCCCCAAATAAGCAAAAACAAACAACAAAAGCTGGTTCCAGACAACTACAATGGGGCACAGAACACTGCCCACCCTCAACCTCCTGGCCTCTCTGCCTGGCAGAAATCACTAGCAGCAGCCACACCGCGGGCGGCAGAGGGAAGGGACTCTGCGGTTCACAGCAGTTCTCTTAGGGCTGGGGTGCTGTGCAAGTCCTTCAGCCACATGAAAATGAGTCGCTGACACCAGAGGGGATGTCCTGACCCTGTCACTGAAAACAAGCCAGGCCTGAACATCTCACAAAGGGCCAGACCATAGCTATGTAGGCTTTGCGGGCAGAGGGGCCGAACGCAGCTGCCCAGCCGTGTGCTGCAGAGAGAACAGCAGATACAATGAACACGAATGTGCGATGTGTCCACCGACCGTGGAACAAAATCAGATGGCTGAGTGGCAGCATGAGCAAACCTGGCTGAACAGTGAGCACAGGGCTTGCAAATCAGTCACAGACGAACATATTTCATTGCGGAACAAGGAAACTCCTCCATTCAAGGACATTTTAAAACCTCGGCGAGGCATAACTCAAACACAAACTGCTCCCAGCTTAAAGGTACACTTTGATGAGCTTTGCAGACACGTAAGCCATAGAATTACCACCGCACTCAGTATTTCAAGTATCCCCGTGGCTCTAAAAAGGCCACCTTTGCTCTTTGGCAGTAAATCTGATCTGATCCCTGTCAGTAAGACTTGGTCCTTCCTTACCTAGAACTTTTCTAAAAGGAAGCATGAGCTTGTTCAGTCCTCTGTGCCTGGTTCTTTCAGTGTGACTCATCCGATTGGTGGGTTGCTGGTCCCTAGCTGTTGTGACAAAGGCTGCTATGCCTATTCATGACAGTGTGATGGGGAATGTTCTTCTGTGCATGTTTCTCTTATTGGTTGATGAATAAAGCACTGTTGGTCAACAGGGCAGCAAGATAGGTGGGACTAGGATATGAGGAGGATTCTGGGAAGTGTAGGCAGAGAGGAGTCGTCATGTGATCCCAGGAAGTAACATAGCTGGGCAGAAACTGCATCTAGCTAATCATAGAGGCCTGGAGGTCTGTGCAGACAGGTAAGAAGTGACGCATCTGGGCAGATTCAGAAAGTAAGCAGGGACAAACAGGAAATCACCCTCTCTCTTCTCTGCACAGACGCTGAGTGAACGGAGATGTAGGACGCGAGAGGAGAAAGAGGTCCCTGGACATTCTCTGGTAAGAAAAGGCCCCGTGGAGATACTGAGATGATTAGAAATGGGTGAACTGAGACAGAGCTAGCCAATAAGAAGAGTCCATAGTCACCGGCCAACAGTTTCATAGTGACTATGTCTTGTGTGTTTATTTGGGGACTCTGAGGCGGCTGCGGAACCAAGCGGGAATCTTGTAACAACAGTGTTAGTAAGTGGTGACTTCACACTAGTGACCAGAGGGGAAGTCAAGCACCGTGGACACAGGAACACACTAAGGCCCATGTGCTCCGTGTGTCCTATAGCACGAGGCTGGGTGTCATGCTCCTTACCTCTTTCCGCAGCTCGTTGAGACTGTGGCTGACCCTCAGAATGGTGAGTTCCAGCTCCTCGGCGGCACTCTTAGTCTTCCTGCTTTGCTGAAATTGTGGGAAGTATTCGTGTCACATTACTTTCTTAGCCTGGCACTCAATCAGTATAAATTGTAGCACATTCTAATACCATTCAACAATAGTAACAGTATTCTTATTTGTTTTTGTGGTGCTATGAACCACACTCTCGGGGCTCTAACCCTGAGGTATACTACGCGACCTGGTAGAAGTACTTTTTTAATTTACCTTACAGTAGAAAATAGATTTTGGGTTATTCCATTGTATTTTCCACACTAACTATAAATAGGTGAATTTTCAGAACCAAATTTTCCTAATAAACTTGTGTCTGAAACTAATCTCTTTTATTTTCCCCCTGGAATGTCTAGCCTTTGTTTTTAGTGTAGCTGAATACCAAAATTCTATTACTCCCCAAGGGGCTCCACAAATCCTTCTTCCTCGGGGACCTCCCAAGCCACCCACTCTAAACCAGGCCTCTTCACCTACTCTAACCTTTTCTTCAAGTAATCATCACATCTTAGAATCACATATTTATGTTTTTTTACATTTGTTTAATATTTTTTAAAATGTTGGTTTGTCACTTTCCTTCTAGGACAAAAGTTGGGTTCACATCAGTTCCATAGTACATGCTGATAGAGAACACACAGGTCACGGGTATTCCAGTCTCTCAACCAGCAGAGCCAAGCAATCCCAGTGCCTTCTGGGAGCCTTCTAGAATCCTTTCCCTAAGTCTAACTTCGCTCTGCCACGCCCTCAGCACAGGAGCTGTCAAGAAACTTCAGACGGATTCTTTGTGTCCTTGTCTACCTCTTCCAAGCTTTTTCTATATTGTAAATTCATGATGGGCAAAGATGATCTTATTTTTCTCTGGACTTCTGGCACTGGCAGATAAAAGGTATTCAGTCACAACCACAGGAAAAAAAATAATGGAAAGCACACCCAGCACACAGAACCAGTGAGCTGAGTGCTTTGATGTGAAGAGTGCTAGCTGCAGAGCTAGTGATAATTGCATAAAAATCAATAATAACAAGTCATAAAATCTCCAACCCTGAGCATTTCATCACAAGAAATTTGGGATTCGGGGGAGGGTCTAGGCCCTGCCCTGGATGAAATGACAGACTATGGACACCCCCATGGAGGGCCTCACCCTCCCTGGGGAAATGAAGGGATAATGGGAGGTTGGGGAGAGGGCACGGGAGGAGGGGAGGGAAAGGGAGAGGGACCTGGAACTGACTTGTGAAGCAACCTTGTTTCTAATCTAAATTTAAACTTAAAAATAAATAATAAAAAAATGATTTATTAAAAAAAAGAAGAAATTTGGGATTCAGTGTTGAGCTTAGGATACATCACGAAAGCAATTTCCTCTTCACACTACACAGCACACAAGTAATTCAAGTACAAAACACTACTCATGACTCTTACACCACTCCATTAGAGCAAGACTCCCAGATAACAGGCCATGTGCACTGTTGCCAAAGAAATATCCCCAAATCTGTGATCTCTCTCTGCTCTTTATGCACAAATAATACAGCTGCCGGGGAGCAAACTGCCACTGTTTCCTCTTAAGTCTCACAGCCTCTCCCTCTCTGCCGCCAAACTTTAATTCCTTATTCCCAGAATTGTTCTACCCACTACCTCCATTTGCTATGAGTTACGTTAAATACTTCATGACCTGGCCTAGGTTTAAGAAACACATAAAAGGGGCCAGAACACGCCTTGGCCTCTGCGCCCTCCATCCTTACACCTGCCATCTACTGCTATGAGACTTGGGACGAACTTCCTGTGTTGTCACACTCGTGTAGGTTTTACCCATCCTGCTTGAACAGCCTCCCACGATGAAAGCTTGCCACTCAGGCCTCCTCAGTGGCTGCTGGCGAATTTAGTCCAGGAGTCTGTGTGAGAGTGATGAACTCTTCTACCTGCCAGCTAGGTCCACCCTGGCCCTCATTGCATCTCGACCTCAATGAGCATTCTAAACGCTTGTCTGTAAATCAGCTGTCCTCAGTTAAGCACACTGCACAGGTTCGAGTTTCCAGGACCTCTAATGCATTTATTCCTCTGCTTTCCACACTAAGGAAGCATTTGGAGGAGGAATTTTTCAGAAATGAATTTGGCAGGAGAGTGGGGAGACCAGGGAAGCTATAAATGGCGATGATGGCACAGAATCCAGCCTGGCCAAGGGGAGAGTCAGCCACCTGGACATGGCAGGTGCTGTGAGCCACACAGAAAGCATACGTAGTTTTACCCGCTGGGATGGAGAAACGGGGTAAGACAGGCTTGCCCTGCACTAACCAAATTCATAGTCCTGCTGGTTGTGTTAACTTCCACATCTCCCTAAACATCAGGTGAAGAGCGACTGCCTGAGATTTACTCTAATGAACACAGCCCTTACAGCCTGCATCCACACGGAAGTGAGCTGTTGCAGTTCTGTTCTCGCCTGCGTAGACAGCTCCAAGATGCGTTCCCTGTGCTCATGGCTGGTGTAGGCAGAATCGGTGAAGTCCTCCACACGCTCCAAGATGACCTCCAATGCAGCAGAAAGGTTGTCCTTGGACTCAAAGTAGAGATTCTCTCGAAGAGCTTCAATGTTCAACTGAGTGCAAAAGGGACAGAAAATCCATCTAAGTATCCCCCAAATGGGCTACAAGTTCCAACAGTGTCCTGGAGATGCACTAGCAAGTCCTTTTCCAGGATCAGGAGAATTGCAGCCTCCATCCAATGGTCACTATATCCTCCAGTCCCCGGAAGGACACTTTGTTCAAGAGTCATCAATGGCCATGCCGTTAACACAGTGACATTGCCACAAGATCAGAGAATACTAAGGCAGCAAATGCACCAGTGTATAGAACTGGTAGAAATAACAAACCAGCCTCCAGATGAAGTATCTGCAGTGAAAGAAAGTGCCTAGGCAAAGGCCCAAGGAGGTTTGCACTCAAGCGAGGTGCTGAACCACAGAGGGTAGACCACAGTGAGGAGTTTCTGGGCTAGAGGCTAAGGCTGCAGCCCAGAGGGTAAGGGTAGGGCATCAGGTTTGCTCACCCAGAACCTCTCCAATCGCCCAACAGATTTTGCATTTTGTTTTATGTCCCTAACAGTACACGGGCACAAACATCCTCTACCAGGAGGACTGGATCACCTTTCTGAACAGTAAGCCTGATATTACCACATTACCTCTAGTTAGCTCCTCCCCAGCTACAGAATCAAGAAGGCATAAAGGTCTCCATAGTCTCATCCTCACTCACTACCCTAGCAGCCTGTCCGTCTTCTGGAGGCGCTGAGGATTTATTTGCTTCACCTACCCTGCGTGTAGAGTTCTTCCAATGTGGAATGGACTCATGGGAAATCCTTCTCTCTTAACTTACACCATTGCAACCTTAGCCTCAAACTCATGAAATCTATCAAAGACACAACTTGGACTAGGAGACATAAAGCAGTAATGATCATGGCTATGGTCACAACTGATGAATGTACTGACAGGGACAATGTTGTAGACCTTTAAGTTCCTGCCACAGTTGTTTCAAAATAACCCTTGCACGTGTCCCATTTTACATGACCTGTGCCATACCAGCTGTGCAAAGTCAAGAGGCCATGTGGAGTGAATTACCACTTCATCCTGGGTAATTTTCTCCTTGGTTAAGAAATAACATGCATAGAGACTGCTGAATGACTCAGCAGGTAAGATTGATGCCACCAAGACCTATGACCTCAGTCCATCTCCAGGACATGCAAGTTGGAAGGAGAGAACTGATAACTACAAATTATCATCTGACCTCCACACAAGAAGTAGTACACACACACAGACACATACGTGCACACACACACTACAGAATAAACAAATGTATTAAAAATCACATGGATAATAAATAAGGAGTGGACAATGATGACCTGAGATTTAAATAACTGAAACCTGAAAGTTAATCATGTATAACTCACATCATTTGTTATTGATTTTTATTTTCACTTTAGGCTGTGTATATATGTGTGTGTGTGTGAGTATGTATGTGTTATGTATGTGTGAGTGTGTGAGTGTGTGTGTGTGTGTGATGTTTAAACAGCAATTTAATAGAGTCATATTGGTCTTTTGAAGGCTATTAAGTTTATTTTCATAAGATATAGCCACTTATTTACAATGCCAGACAAAAGAAATTTCTCTCTACAGATTATTTTCTCCATCAAAAAGAAACCAGTGTCAAGTCAGGCATAGTGCTCCGTGCTTGTAATCCCTACACTTATAAGGCTGAGGCAGGAGGATTACACTGCGACATCAGTCTGAGCTACATGGCTGGGTTCCATTCTGGGAGAGCCTCCTTATGTAATGGAGAACAGTGCTCTCCACAGCTTTTCCACTCCCTGTCCTGACCTCGATCGTCACACAGGGTCAAGGTGCAGTGAGACAGAACGAACACCATGCCCACCTCAGCTCTGCTTAGTACGGGTGTAGCCCTTGGCATATTTTATCAGGTAACTTTCCAGGGCCTCGGTTTTCTTATCTGGTGAATGATGCTGCGTTAGACAAGGCTATAGGACTCTCTTGAGGAGAAGTCAGGCTGCCTGGAGTCAAATCTCCGTTCTGGTCCTGAGGCAGCAAGTCGATCTTATCTGTCTCTCCATCTCTCTGACATCACTCAGAAGAGAATGGCAACAGTACTTGTGAGGTCCACACATTCAAAGCGCTTAAACTGAGCTGGCACAGTGAGGACTCCAAACGTTAGCAGGATTTCTCTTAGATCTATAGATGTTGCTGTGGCTCTAGTTAACCGTCTGGATGTGCAGACCCTATCACACAAGGAAGAGCAGGGATCCCAGCAGAAACTGTGTGCTGTTTGTGATCATCTGTAGCTGGCTCTCCATGCAGGTGTCCATCTTAACCTGCAGCTCAGCAGGGACGGCTGCTGCTGTAAACGAGGACCCGTGTTGTCTGTCAACGCAAGCCTGAGCCCATGTTGCTCACTGTTAGGTCCCCACAGAGTGGCATTGCATTAAAGAAACATATTTGATTTTTTAATGTGTATGAGTGATTAGCCTCTGTGCACATATGTATACCATGTGCATGTCTGGTGCCCAGGAAGGCAGATTAAGGGACCAGATCCAGTGGAACTGGAGTTACAAGCAGCTGCGAGCGGCCATGTAAGTGTAGCGAATGAACTGCCAGCCCCTGAGTCAGCTCTCTAGCCCTTGAGACACACTGCTTTCTGTGAAGAGCAACTCTATCTTTTATGCGTGTGCTGTTTGTGTGTGAGGAGGGATGCACGTGAATATGGGTTCCCTGGAGCTAGTCATACGCAGTGTGAGCCATCCAACATGGGTACTGGGAACCTAACTTTGGTGCTATTTGAAAGCAGCAAGCCCTCTCACGCAGTGAGCCATCTCTCCAGCTCCCGGAAGAGCCACTCTAAATCATTGCACCAGATATGAACATTATACATAATGGGGCTCTCTCAAATGAGACAGGAAAAGAGCAAAACCTCCTCTTTACGCTTACCTTCAATTCTTTAATCCCAGTAAAAACGCTGACAGATGAGCTGTCAGTCTCTCTGTTTGGTTTACACTCAGTGACGATCTCAATGACCTTATCCAGGGCCACTCGCATCCGGTCAAACACTCCTTCTTTGTTTTTATGGGCTGAGTCACAGCTGGGATGCCTGAGACATGTCTTCAGAAGAGGTGAGGTTTTTATTTTAATAATAACTCACATTGTAGCCCACTAAAATCTTACAGAGAACATGCCATGCTAATAAAAATGGTTCTTTACCCAAACTCTCCCGGCTCCCCGGCTCCCCCAGCTGCCTCTCCTCACTAGCGTGGAAGCAGAATGAGTAAAAAGAGACAGCAAGGTTAAGTGAACGACCAGAGAGAAAAGCTGCATCTTCAAACATCAACAGCAAATCCATCTCGATTTCAACAACGGAAAAACCCGGCATCTTCTTTACAGTTACAACTGTTTCATACGGTGCTGCCTCACACATGCAGGAACAAGAAAGGAACTGGGAAAGCTGGACAAGATGATAGATGACTGTGGCTGCATCTGTCACTTTTAAAACCTGATGTAAATAAAGATCTAGATCTACATATGAGCAGAGCATTTGTCTCTGCGCCGGTGGTTTTGCTAATCCTAGTGCATCAGTAAATGCGGACAAAAGAATTCTGCAGAATAAAAAGTCGATTCTCTACCAACTCCTACAGAGACATTTACCAGCTCATCCCTGCACTGTACCAATTGCTGCTTGGGAACACACACCCTGGCCTGTCATTTTATAAAAGAAGAAATAGAGAAGCCATCAATTCATGGAAGACACCAACAGAGGCTACTAGCTCTGCTAACCAGTCCTGACTTGCCTAGATGGTGTGGCCTGGCAAACGCTGCCATGCGTGCCAGTGCCTGGCAGACTCTGTTCACAGCACTTGATCCCCTCTCTTCTGCTTAGCTGCTGAATCAAAGTGGGCTCAGATTCGGGAGCTGGGGCAGGAAGGTGAGCATTCGTGATAACAGTAACCGATTTGACTTGGTTCTAAGTTACTGCTTTCATCCCTTCAAAAATGCCCAGTAGGGACGGCCGGGGTGAGGCTCAGTGTGGGAGTACATGCTTAGCAGGCACAAGGCACTGAGTTCAGTCCTCTGCATAAGGAAAGAGCAGATGAAATGGAAATGTAGCCGTCCCACGTCGACGCGTTTGCTCCTGTCTTTCCCATTACTGACTGCATGAGGACTCAGGGTGCTTACCTTGGAAGCCGTGAGCAGCATCATGGTGCCCTTTTCCAGCACGGCCCTCGCCACCGCCATGCTGGCCTTTTTCTTTTCATCTTTCAAATCCTAAAGATGAAATCAAATCACTGGGTAGTCTAAGGCCATAGCAGCAACCTAATCTTTGGAAAAGCCATTCACTCAACAACAAAAATGTCCAAAAGGCAGTCATATTGTTCAGGACAGAAAGAAAGAGGCAACGGGAATGTTTTCTAAACCTTCACCCACGGTTCTCTCTTTGAGGTCACTTACCTGCAGTCCACGTGTCTGTTACTGCCCGCCTCTACCCACACCCTCTAAAACATGGGGCACGCTTCCTTACTGTTATGTCCCCAATATCTAGAATACTCCAATTCCCAGTAAGTAATGAGAATCTGCTGAGTACAAAGAAAGAGGCTAGCTGATGGCTATTTCCAGCATATTCTGACCAATTAACAAAGAAAGGACTGAAGTCTGAAAACAAATACTAAGAAAGTGAGCCAGTCACAACACTTGCCAAAACCCCGGCAGGGAAAACGCCTACTCCCCTGTATCTGATGAGTTAAACTTAGCGGCTACTCCTGCCAGGTGAGGTAGTGCACGCCTTAAACCCCAGCACTGGGAAAGCTGAGCAGGATGATGTCTATGAATCTGATGATGGCCTGGTCTACACAGTGAGTTCCAGGCCAGTCAAGGTTATTCTTCAGCCAAAGTACACACTTTTAAGAGTTGATCACAGTCTTACTGAACCTGGGAGAAATATTCTACAGATCAATCTTATTTTCTTTTTTGGTTTGATTTTTTGAGGCAGGGTCTTGCCATGTAGCACAGGCTACCCTGCAAGTCACTAAGCAGCCTAGGTTGGCCTCAAACTAATGGTGATCCTCCTGCCTTAGAATCCCAAGGGCTGGGATTACAGGGGTAAGTCACCATCCTGGCTTCAGGCTGGATTTCTAACTGCAGATCAATGTAACAGTGGAAGTTTCCCAGCTGTGTGACCAGCAGGAAACACAGCCAAAAGAGCGACACAGGCTTTGGGATCTGAGTCACAGTGCACTCACCCAAGCGACTCAGCAAATGTTAGACGACAAACCGTCCTGAAAATACTTAGGCTAATAATCTCTACAGGGAGAGTGTGGGAGCGCAGAGGGGAAGGATGATGAAAAGAAAAAGAAAAAAACAGAAGTATTAAAGAACAATGGTGGCAGAACAGAAAATGAGCCAAGGGTTACACGGGTGGCTTTTCAAAGTCTGCATACGTTTAATTGTTGATATTGTGTGCAGGTACACATATGTGAGCTCACAGGTATGCATGGGCTTGTGAATGTCATAGCATTCACATGGAGGTCAGAGGACAGCTTGCAGGAGGCAGTTATTTCCTTCCACCATGTGGATCCTGGGGATTGAACTCCAGAAAGTGCCCTTACCCACCCAGCCATCTTGCCAGTCACCTACACATTCGGCTATTTCAGCAACAAACACTGCTCTCCGGCCTGCCATTTTCCAGACCAATGTCCAGCTCCCAACAGTAGCTATAACCAGGAAAGCTCTTGTCTAAAACTGAAGGGGTAGCCTGAGAGAAGATGTCAGGATCTTAGTACAGCTGTCAGGCCTGCTGACAAGATGGATTCATAAGCAAACATCCCAGCTAGAAAGAGCCTATTTTGACACGATGCCGTCTTCTACCTCCCCCACCCTTAGAAACATTGGTCTGAATTGGGAAGCAGGTCCCAAAGGCAAGACACCAAAAGATGCAGTTAAACAATGACAGGCTTGCTGGGCGTTGGTGGTGCACGCCTTTAATCCCAGCACTTGGGAGGCAGAGGCAGGCGGATCCCTGTGAGTTCAAGGCCAGCCTGGTCTACAGAGTGAGTTCCAGGACAGCCTCCAAAACAATACAGAGAAACTCTGTCTAGAAAAACCAAAAAAAAAAAAAAAAAAAAAAAAAAAAAGAAGAAGAAGACTGAATTTCCATCCAAAGTAAAACGTATGCATTTATCTGAAGACTTTTCAATGTGGTAAGTACATACATTTTGTCTGTCTCCTGTTAGATGTGCAAACTCCACCATTTCATTTCCAAACTGGCTGAACATCTGAACAAACTCCTGAAAGCTGTTTACTTTCTCTAGTCTCTCCATGGTTGTAAGAACCTGTGAAACAGAAAATATTTTATTGCTGGGTGATAAACAAGACACAGACTGAGACTTCCAGAGCTGAACGGAGTGAAGGGAAACAAGAGAGGCTAGAAATTCCATGGGAAAGCTGAGAAAAAGAAACATACACACACACTCACACACACACACACACACACACACACACACACACACACACACACACACACACACACACAGAGACATGTACATACACACACCGGAGAAGGAGCCTCTAAGACATAAGAGCTGGTTCAACACTTAGAACCACTTGACTTGGCCTTAGGATAAGGAGACATGGGTTTATGTATAACCTCAAAGGAAGAGAAAAAATAATGACTAGATAGGGCTTAGAGAGTTAAAAGCATCTGTAAGAAAAAGACAGGCAAAAAGCAAAGGCAGACCTAACACAGAACCAGCTAAACCTCTGGGTTTAGGAACTGCACTCGGGCAAGAAATTCTGAAAAGGAAAAGCACACTCTGCTGGGTGAGCCTGCCTTTCCAGGGGTCTCCTTGGCGGGCCCCTGAGCTTCCCTATTAGACTAGCCCCTAAAGGAGGAGACAACAGCGTGTCTCTACGTAGAGTAGATTCTGTTCTTTGCAGGATCTCTTTGTGTGACTTAGGCTGGCCTAAGACTCACTATGTAGCCCCGGAGTCTGGGCCTGAACTCATGGTTATCCTCCTGCCTCAGCTTCTCAAGAGTTGAGATTACAGGCATCAGAGCCACCCCCACTCAACCTTATCTTCTAATAATAGTAACTTTCAAGGGGCCCCATGAAGGCTGTGTTAATCACCTCTGCAGGCAATGCCTGCAGTGACTTACAGGCCTTTGAACAGATCCTGTCTTGTGAAGATTCCACCAACTCTCACATGAATACACTGGGGCCTGGGCCCCCAGCACAGGGCCCTGGAGATGCCCTCAAAGCATGTCTGAGCATAGCAATGGCAGCATTTCTGCCATTCTTTGCTTCTTCGCACTTAACTTCATGAATGAGCTCTTCCTTTGTGTATTTAGGGGGTTCGTTTGTTTTGTTTTTTGACCCACAGTCCCTAACCTAACTCCCTATGGAACTGAGGATGGCCTTGAACTGTCTCCATTTGAAGTATTTATTGGTATGGGTGTGTATATACTCACACGTGTGTGCAGAAGCACATGTGTGTACGTATGGGAAGGATAGAGCTTGATGCTGGGTGTGCTCACTAACCCCTCTCCTCTCTACTTGCAGAGGCAGGGTCCTAACCCTGGAGCTCACCTATCTGGCTAGTCAGGGGTGAAGAGACAGGCAAGCCAAACAGACTTTACAAAGAACATAGCCTTAGGCATTCTGTTAGAGAAACTGAAAGCCGACAACAGTAGCAATAAGAACTAAGGAGGCAGTGAGGAGAAAAAAACCACAGGAACTATACAGATTACTGAACCAGAATTAGGAGAACTCCAGTTTTAGAAGGAAATGGAAAGGAGGTAATCTACAGAGAGAGGAGTAAGATGGGGGTTTAGGAATTCACAGCTGAAAGCCAGTTTAGACCGGTCGGGAGCTGCTGAGTAGCAGAGAATAACTGCCGAGAGGCTTTGGGCAGTGAGGACAGAGCCAAGCGTGGACCTGTGCACAGGACAGCGGCGGGAAATGCTGTTTCCTTGGCGTAAGAGATACGGTAAACAAATGTGAAACATACTTTCTGATAGCTTTTTTTTTTTTTCTAAAATAACTACTGAATTTGGGCCAGAGCTAGATAGGTTAGAAAAACACAGATATCCTGTGCTTGTTCATTTTTAATGAGGATATGGAGACAGCTGGCCTGCTAACCTGCCCAGGCAGCTCAGGAAACACAAGCAGTTCCACAGATAAGGGAGACGGGACACAGAGCACAGCCTCCATCTCAGAAAGACAGGAAAATATTCCTTTGGTTTGTCACTCCCTTCCATTTCTTTTTCTCTTTAAACTATGGTTTGCTCGACATTCCTGGGGGGTGGGGCTGGGGTCAACAGGGCCATCCTCAGATGCCCCTGAGAGGATGCCCTCCTCCAGCTGACTCCGATGACTGCCCCCTCCTCACCTAGCTGAGTGTCAGCAGAAGGCAATGGTGTTTGGTTCCCAGTGACCAGGGGCAGGGCCACGGTCTACTTTGAGCTCAAGAGTTTAAGTCCATTCTTTAGAAATAGTTAAGGGCTCTACATATGGAAATTTTGTGGCTGTGGACAGGGTCTCAAGTAGCCCAGGCTGGTCTCAAACTTCTATGTAGCTAAGGCTGGCCTTGACCTTCTGATCATCCTGCCTCCATTTCCCAGGGTTGTGACTGCAGGTGCTTGGGATTGGAACCAGGGCTTAGCGCATACTAGCCAAGCACTCTACCAAAGCCCAGTGATTGACATTTGTCTTTACTTGTAAATGGTTACTCTCTAACTTGGGTAAAAGTACTGCAGGATTCAGGATATTTGTTAACTAGGTCTCTAGTGCATACAACATCAGCTTAGCTTTTCTTCCCAAATTGCATACATTTAAGGCTTTTGGCAGTACGCCTCAACAAGATTTTTGTTGTGTTGTTGTTAAATGAGAAACATCATTTGCATTTAAAACTTCAGGCCTGGGCTCAGTGGTTAAAAGCACTGACTGTTCTTCCAGAGAATTCAGGTTCAATTCCCAGCACCCATATGGCAACTCATATCCACCTGTAACTCCAGTTTCGGGAGCTCTGAGACCGTCTTCTGGCCTCTGTGGACATCAGGGATGCACATGACCCACAGACTTAACACAGGCAAACAATCATATACATAAAACACTAACAATGCTTTTAAAGATAGAAATAAATGAAAGTTCAGACTCGGTAATTAGATATGGTAGGTGTGGGGAAGGCACTGTTTTAAACTCTGGGCAATGGGTCTATAAATAATTAACTAACAAGCAGAGCCAAACTGTCTGGATTTCACATCAACAAGGATTCTGAGTCACCCTAAGACACAAGCACAGCCACAAGTGAGTACCTTGTTTCTCGACGTCACTATCTGCTTGATGACTACTCGGTCTGCCAGCAGCAACACCTTTGTCACCGAGGAGAGCAGCAGCCTGGCGGCCTGCACAACCCCTGTTTTGTCTGTCAAAATTGTGATCTGGCCATCCGATTCCACAGGGTTCAATTTGGTCACATCTGTGAGTGCTGCAATCGTTTCTCCTAACAAGAAAGAGGGATATTATATTGGAAATTAAACACTTAAACAAAAAGACAGACTTTTCTCTCATCTTGACTACAGTATGCATGGGAACTTTGGGTACAAGAAATGCTTAGATGGCTCCTATGATGCTTTCTAGAAAAACAAACAAACAAAAACAATGACAGTACCCTCTTGAGAACCATGACAAACTTTGACCTGGTCAGAAAAATACAATTTGTCTTTCTAGGAGTTTGTCCAACCATACAATCTAAAAGCTACCTCTGTACAAGACAAAAGAAAAGTCCTAGGAGTCAAGAACCAAACACTTAAATCCAGAGCACTAAGCAAGACACAGGTGCCCAGGCCTAGGTGAGGCCTCCAGAGGGAGCTGAGGAAGGAGGGGCACAGCAAACACAGGCCACTAAATATGGACAACTAGCTGGTGCTTTACCAATCACAGTGTATGGTAGTCAGCCTCCAAAGAGCTCTACCTGCTGGTACCCGTGTCCGTCAAGCGTCCTCTCCCACACTGCCCTCAGAAGCGTGGGCAGAAGAGGAAGCATGCCACTTCTGAAGTCAAGCAATCAAACCCTCTCTGGTCAAGCCTGTGAGATGGCCAGGGGCAACAGCACTTTAATCTCTAAAATCATGGTAAAGAACACTGACCCCCAAGAGCTGTCCTAACCTCTTCTCATGCACTGTAGCATGGACACGGACACACACACACACACACATACATACACACACACACACACACACACCACACACGCACTCCACACACACTCACACAAACACCCCACTCTCTCTCTCTCCCTCTCTCTCTCTCACACACACACACATACACACACGCACGCACGCACAATGAATTTTTAAAAACTGAGACCATCATCTTGTTTTCTGTCTCTCTGAGGGAAACCAAGTACGAGGTTATAGGCAGCCTAACGACAAAGAATCAACATGATGACCAACAGTCAACCAGAAAGCCTGCCTAGGAGCTTGCAAAACACATTTCCAGGACGGTGAAGCCTGCAGGTAACAAAGGCCTGACAGACATCTCTACCCAAGCTGACCCAGGATAGCCCAGGGAAGTCACTTCCTGTCTCTGGTCTGAGCCTCGGATGCATGGCAATGGAAATTGTTGTATCACCAAATTTTTATGACAAAATCTGCAGAGGACAAATGTGCTCGGAACTAACCTTTATTGTGGTGGAAGGAGCAGGGGAAATGGGTGAGAGCAGCAATAGCTGAAAGAAAAGATGTTTTCTTTGCTCCTCTGGAAAATGTCCATTTTCCTATCACTCTCGGCCACCAAAGTCACTGCATGAGAGCCTGTGCAGATGACACTGCTTAACCATTCCTTTTCCTGACTGAACCCTGGGCATTCACCACATCAGTAAGCGGGCAGGAACCCCTGGTCCACTGCAGAACAGGGTCAAGTGTCTCCGTACCATCGCGGCTCTTCCAAGCCTAGACTGCAAAGGGTTCCCAGCAAAGGCACAAAGTGTACAGTTGAGTGTTTTTGTTTCTAATTTATTATAAGCAATGAACTAGTATAGTCCCTTAGAGTGAAAACTCCAAGACATTCTAACAAAAATATTTAAAATGTTTACTAAACTACCATATAAAATACAGATCTTGACATGTAGTCAAGTAAAAAATAAAAACAGGAACTCAACTGAGAGAAAAAATAAAATGCAATAATTAGGACATGAAAATCTGTTAAACAAATGCACACAGGCATCATGTAACAACCCTTCTACAAATGTGAGTAGCCCCATTTTTCCATGGGAACACTGAGGCTCTGCCTAGTTGGAGGAGGCGGGACTGGAATGTAAGCGGTTTAACCCTGAAGCTCCAAGTCATGCCCACGGCTTCTTCCTATTCTTGCACTGAAGGGCGCCCAGGAGGAAAGGACCACTGAGGGCTGACTAAGCCAGAAAGCCTCCCCGAGTGCTGTCTTCAGTCTTCAATCTATGTAAGTTCAGGAGGCTCACAGGTAGGGAGAGGGGCTTCTTGAAGGATGAAGGGGCACTTCCGTCAGCTTAAAAGAGGTGGTGTGTGAGGTCCGTGCCACTGGAGGGACCTGCCTGGGAGATGGCTGAGGCTGTCAGCTCACACTGAGAATGGTGTCAGAGCTAAGGGGGGGCAGGACCTCATGGCGCTGTTTCCTGTAGGTCTCAACCCCGCCCCTCGTGCTTATCAGCAATAACTGGAAGATGCCTTTCTGCTTTCTCTGCATTGTCTACTGCACTCTGTGACGCGCTGTCTACGTGCCCACGGAATAATGCCGTGCCAGGAAAACAGGGCTCTCCTCTTACCAACTGCTTTCTTTCCTCTCGGCAAACAATGAGGGTTATATAACCCCTGTTTCTCACACTTTTGTCTTGCTTTCCAGGAAGTACAAAGATAAATTTCATGCTTAATTAAATATTCACCTTTGCCACTGAGTCTGGTATATTTTTCCTCTTATTTTAGTAGAATCATTTACCATGTCTTTTATTATAGCCCAATTCAAATCCTTTTTTATAATGGGAAAAATAGAAACGACATACAGGATAAGGCCTCCTCCTCTGCCTCCCACATAAAGCTGTTCCCAAACCAACAAGCGTCTAGAAGCCCGAGAGTCAAGCCTGTGTCCTCCTGTCTTTAGTTAACACCCTCATTCTGTGTTCAGCCACATCTCACTGGCTGTATTAGGCTGTTTCTACTGTAAACGCTTCCTCTCAAGCCTCCCGACCTTCATTTGTAACCCTCTCTCAACTTCTCTGCAAATCGCCCACCTCAGCTGCTAAGGGCCAGCAAGGCACGCCAGTATGCTAACCAGTGAATGAGCCTATGTTTCAGGCTTAGGACTGCAGTCAAGAGAGGCCCAACATTCCTAAAAGCCAGTTTAGGTCATTAATGTTCTAGCATATCTTAACTCAAAGCCAAACTAAAGTATTTCATCAGCCATGTAACTTGGCGATAGCTTGATTAGCATAAGGACAGCCCAGGGTTCAATCCCCAGCACTGTAGCAAACAAATTCTTTTTTTGTTTTTTTGTTTTTTCCAGACAGGGTTTCTCCGTGGCTTTGGAGGCTGTCCTAGAACTAGCTCTCGTAGACCCCAGGCTGGTCTTGAATTCACAGAGATCTGCCTGCCTCTGCCTCCCTAATGCTGGGATTAAAGGCGTGCGCCACCAATGGCCTGGCTTGAAAGCAAATTCTTAAGTTTTGTTGGGTGTAGTGGTACACACCTGCAATCCTAGCACTTGGACCCAGAGGCAGGTAAAGGTAAAGGTAAACCTTCAAGGTAAAGGCCACGCCAGTTTATACCGTGAGACTGGGTACACAGTGAATACATAAGTATCTGCCATAAGACCCAGAGAAATGAGATCGGCATACACAGCCTTTAAAATACATATTCGCAGCTTGGCATGGTGACACATGTCAGGACTTGGGAGACTGGTGCAGGAGGATAGCCTGGGCTATGTGGTAAGACCTGCCTCATATGTGTGGTAGTTTGAATGTAAGTGGCCCCCATAATCTCATAGGGAGTGGCACTATTAGGAGGTGTGGCTTTGTTGGAGTGGGTATGGTCTTGACAGAGGAAGTGTGTCACTGTGGGGGTGAGCTTTGAGGACTCCTATGCTCAGGATACTGCCCAGTGTGGCGGTGGACTTCCTGTTGCCTGCAAGATACAGGACTCTCAACTATTTCTCCAGCACCACGTCTGCCGCCCGCTGCCAAGCTGCCCGGCGTGACGATAATGGACCGAACCTCTGAAAATGAAAGTGAGCCATCCCAATGAAACGTTTCCTGTATAAGAGTTGCCATAGCCATGGTGTCTCTTCACAGCAACAGAAAACCCTAACTAAGACAGTATGGTGGCACATGGCTTTAATCCCAGCACTTGGGAGGCAAAGGCAAGTGGACCTCTAGGAGTTCAAAGCCAGCCTGGCCTACATAGAAAGTTCCAAGTCATCAAGGGTTACATAGTAAGACCTTGTCTCCTAAAAAAGCAGCAAGTAAACAAACAAAAGGAAGATAAACATTCACATACCTGCTTGTTTAGCCTCAATGCAGGCAATATTAATTTCTTCTTTCAAATCCCAGTTTTCATTGGCTATAGCTTCCCCTACTTTAACAAATCTTCCAACTGCCAAGTTGACAGCTTGTCCCACACGCTGAATTGCTTGCAGAGTTTTATCAGACTTTTTGGTATTATCTTTATGGTTAATAAGTGTGGTAATCTAGAAATTTAAAAAAAATGAAGCAACTTTTAAAACTTTTATCTCAATACTTGAAAAAAAAAAAGGTATCACGAAGGTCAAAAAAATTAAACCCAGCATATCAGACTAACCCAAGTGACTAAATCAGTAGCTTTAGATATTGCAACCCCAGGGCCAGCCAGCAAAGCATCTTGCATCATTTCTCAGCACAATGCTACTATTAATTGTGAGTTCACCTGAGGCCAGTTATCTGGGACATACAGTTCCAGATGCTCTCCGGGTCATCCAACAAATCTTAGAGACGTAAATCACAGGTTCGCAGCACTCTCAGAATTTCCCCGGCTCCCCCCTGGCACTGCTCACAAAGTAAATGGGGCATACAGAACGGACTTGCGCACTGGAGGTGGACCCTAGCAGAGCCTTTGCCCAGCACACGGGGACCTTGGTTCAGTCCCCAGCACTAGAAAACCATACTTTAACCACACATGTTTATTCAACTCATTAGCAGCTTTAGAATGACCAGTGTAATCCACTCTTTTAACCCAGTTTTGTTGTATCAGCAGCCCCAAAGTACACGAAATACTAAAAGTTTTATCATTTGGTTTTAAGCACTGAAATAAAATATAAAGGGAGACATGTATAGATCATTAAAACAAATGAAAATCTTTAAAGTATCTTAGGAAACTAATGTGTAGACCAGGCACTGGTGGCGTATGCCTTAGAAAGGAAGGAAGGAAGGAAGGAAGGAAGGAAGGAAGGAACCTAACATGTACAATACTCACATTTGAAATATTTATTTAAAGCCATTAGATGAAAAACAGATACCAACTAATAAATGTATACTGAGTTTCACTTTGAAATAATTTATATGGGATGATAACAGGGAAGGCTGTGAGCTACAGGCCATTTTGAGCTCCTGAATGGCATCCTGCTTCAAAAAAACAGTTTTGTTCTATGCATTAGTGGGAGCCCCAGAAAGGTTTTTTACATGGGGATGTGGTATAATCTCTGTGATTTCAAAACCTATTCATGAAATCCTTCAGACCTTTCCTTCAAGGAAGAAGGAGCTCTGTTTCTCTCCCAAGTGTAAACTCACTTCTGATGGACAGATGACAATGGACATCACAATTTCCTCTCTGGTATGTGTGACATCACAATGTCCTCTGTAGTGTGTGTGTGTGTGTGTGTGTGTGTGTGTGTGTCTGTCTGTCTGTCTGTCTGTCTGTCTGTCTGTCTGTCTGTCTGTCTCTTTCTCTGTCTCTTCCTCCCTCCTCCTCTCTCTCGGGGACCAATCACGGGGACAGAAAGCTCACTGCCCATTCCAGCTGCCCCACACGGAGCGATCCTCTGAGAGCCCACCAGGTGAGGATTGCTGCCACAGCCACAGCCGTAACAGAGCCAAGGCTTCCTGAGTCAGATGGAGGACACAGCAGCAGAGTCCTGCCAGTTTAAGCCTTTGAGCTGCCACAGGCCCAGCCAGACACCTTTATTTCGGGGCCTTTGGTCCAGAATCATCAGAAAAGTACTACAGAATTCTCCTTAACTCACAGACACTAAGACTTGTTGGTTTAAGGCAGTAAGTTTAGGGTAATTTGTAAGGTATGAATGGGAGATGTCCCCCACAGGCTCGAGTGATGTCGTGAACACTGAGCCCTATCTGGTAGCACTTTAGGACAAGCAACTTTGCTGAGGAAAGTATGTCACTGGGAGTAGGCACTGAGGTTGTTTGTCTGCCTGTCTGTCTGAGCAGGTTCTCACTATGTAGCACTGGATAGCCTCGAACTTGCAGAGATCTGCCTAGGACTAAAGGCGTGAACCACCACACCAGGTTGGCATTGAGATTGTAAGCCCTGGTCCCACTCCCTGCTCTCTCTTTCCTTTGGGACTGCACTGCAATGTGACATCATTCTCCTATTGCCAGCCTTCCTTGCCATGATGGGCTATATTCTTTCTGGAACTGTAAGCTAAAACACTTTGTCCCCTGAGTTGCTTTAATCAGGATGTTTAAGTACAGCAATAGAAAACCAATGAAAGCATTGGTTTTGTTGTTGTTTTTGTTTTCAGGATAGCGGTTCTCTGTGTAGTCCTGACTGTCCTGGAACTCACTCTGTAGACCAGGCTAGCCTCAAACTTAGATCTGTCTGCCTCTGCCTCCCCAGAGCTGGGATTAAGGGTGAGCCACCACCCAGTTTTAAGGCATTGTTCTTAGATAGGTAATACAGATTTTGGTACCTAGATCTGGAGAGATGCTATAACAAAACCCAAAATTTGAGAGTAACTTTGAAATTGGGCTGTGTTTGAGTGACTTTGTGGGATGAGGGAAAGCCCAGGAATGTTGATGACAGGAGCAGGAGACTTTGGGGAAGCTCAGTCAGTTTAAACTCCCAAAACGAATAACTTCAGCTAGTCCTATATGAACTCACTGCTTAAGTTCTACAAAGCTCAGGTTCAGGCCTCCATAGACTTAGAGTCTGGTGAGGGTCAGGTTTTCATGGCTCTTCACTTGGTAGACCAAGCAAACAAGTTCTCTTTGCTCCACCCTAAAGCATTAGTCTCAGTCACAACTTAATGGGCTCCAAAAGGCTTCATATACTACTAAAATTACAGTGGGGATTAAGTTCCAATATAAGGATTTTGAGGGGAAACCAACATTCAGACCACAACAAAAGTGTAAACAAAAGCTTATTTAAATAAAAAAAGTGGGGAAGAGACTAAGGAAATGTCTCAGCATCTGTGTGAGGACCTGAGTTTACAGCCTCAGACCCCACACAAAGCCTGGTGCAATAATGAGGACATCCACACTCCCAAAACTGTTATGGGAAATGGGAAGTAGAGACAGAGGTCAGCTAGCCTGCCCACACAAAGGCAAACAATAAGAAACCATATCTCAAACAAGAAGAAAGGTGAAACAGACATCCAAGCTTATCCTTTGACCTACAGACTCACGCACACACACACACTCACACACACACACACACACACACACACACACACACACACACACACACACACCCCACTATGGCATATGCATGCGCGTGCACATACACACACAGACAAAACCTCACTAGAAACTAGTGGGAAAAGAACCTTATTAGGTGGCAGCAGAAAATCACCCTTAATAACGGGGAAAGTAGAAGCCTTCCCTCAAGAATGGTCTAGCTAAGGGGATTTGAAGGGTTTAAAGGGGCTAGTGGTTGCAGTAGAATATAAGAAACCAGAGAGAACTTAAATAAAACACGGTTAAACAAGATCAAGCCAGAACTTGCTGCTTTTGAAAATTCTTAGCCAGATGGCACACCGTGATAAAATTATAAATGGCTTACAGGCAAAAGTGAAATCTAAAGACAACCGTAAGGAACTGGCTGGAAAATCTTACAGTCAGCTTTGGGAGTTTCAGCACTGGTCTTCCAGAGGTCCCGAGGGGTCAAAGGCAGAAAAGAGCTGACCTCTGCACAACTCGTGGGCATGGCTTTGGTCTAAAACACCAAGTAGAGCATGACTCAAAGGACAACAAACAAAATTAATTACACTGGCAGAAACATATCCAGCTTGGACTTTAAAAAAAAAAAAAAGGAGGGTCAATGTGAAATGGAGGGTTTCTTACTCCCAGACTTCCACAGGCTGAGGAAACGAGCTACAAACACCGAGAAGGCAATACCAAGACACTGAGACAATTCCCGGGACTTGAGTTTTACTAAGGAACCGCCGACCTGGGTCCAGGTGCATGTTAGGAAGCTGAACTATCGGTTCTTTCTTCCCTTGTTTTTTAGCATAAGCCTACAATAGCCTGTGCTTCCTTTTTTCCTATAGCTAGAAAGAGTTGCACTTAGGAAATGCCTGTCTTTAAAAAGCTCATCTAGACCAGATTTCCTAGTCAACCTTCTGTGTTCGGCTGAGCTTTCAGGAGGGGTTTGTCTGCAGGCAGAAGAAGGTAAACAATTTACCACAGAGGTTAGAGAACCCAAGTTCTTTGCTGTTGCAGCCTACAAGAGGCTGTCTCCGCCTCTCTCCTTGAGGGCAAGCTGATTTTCGTTACTTCTGGCAGAAGAAAGCAGGGGATGTAGCTCAAGAGTCAGAGCTATGGCCTCGCGTGCACTAAGCCCTGGGTTCAACTGCCAGCACCACACACCAGCACTGTGACAAACAGGCCGGAATCCCAGCACTCCAGAGTTAGAAGCAGGGGACACTGTTACTATTCAGGAATCCCTACTGGCCTGTCCTTGGGGTTCTGACAGGATATGCCCTCAGCTGCAGCCACTAAGAGCACCACCACCTGTGGGCCGGGTGGTGGTGGCGCGCACCTTTAATCCCAGCACTCAGAAGGCAGAGGCAGGCGGATCTCTGTGAGTTCGAGGCCAGCCTGGTCTAAAGAGTGAGTCCCAGGACAGCCTCCAAAAGAGAAACCCTGTCTCAAGAAACAAAAAAAAAAAAAAAAAAAAAGAAAAAAAGAAAAAAAGAACACCACCTGTGCACATTCACTAAAGGGCCCCGCCCACCTCCCATCCTTCTCTTTCTCTCCCTCTTTCCTCACGCTCTTTCTCTCCTCTCCTGCTGCTCCTGTCTCCCTCCTTCCTTCTCCCCCTTTATACTATCCCTTCCCCCCCCCAAAAAAAGTCTGCTTGAACCCTGTCCTATGTCGTCCTCTCTGGAGCTGCTTTTCTTAACTTACGACAGATATCGTCTCCCTCAGCCAATAAATGAAGCAGAAGTGACAGCGTGCGACTCTAGAGGTAAGTGTGAAGACACTGCAGTTCCCATCTGCTGCTCTGTAATGTCCGATGTCTCCTCCACTCTCGGGGAAGCCTGCTGAGATGCAAAGGCACTTGACCGGCCCCGTGGGAGGAACAGTTACCCAGAATCTCTGTGCTGTGCTTTAGACGGCAGAGCTACAGAGCCACCCAGGTAAGTTACTCTCAAATTCCCAATTCTCAGAACCTGATTTATCTTAATCCATTAAGTTTGGGAATGTTTTGTTATGTAGATGTAAACATAATTTCAAATGTGTGTTTTGAAGTAAATTC